TTTATCTCTGTGTGTTAGAAGAACCAAACTGTTATTGGATAAAGGTACTGGTTAACATTGTATGTGTGTATCTTTCTTTTAAACACTCCATGATGGACATAAGTGCAGATAGCTAGCCTATTTATCTGTGTGTTAGAAGAACCAAACTGTTATTGGATAAAGGTACTGGTTAACATTGTATGTGTGTGTGTATATTTCTTTTAAACACTCCGTGATGGACATAAGTGCAGATAGCTAGCCTATTTATCTCTGTGTGTTAGAAGAACCAAACTGTTATTGGATAAAGGTACTGGTTAACATTGTATGTGTGTATCTTTCTTTTAAACACTCCATGATGGACATAAGTGCAGATAGCTAGCCTATTTATCTGTGTGTTAGAAGAACCAAACTGTTATTGGATAAAGGTACTGGTTAACATTGTATGTGTGTGTATCTTTCTTTTAAACACTGAAACACACAGATAAATAGGCTAGCTATCTGCACTTATGTCCATCACGGAGTGTTTAGAAGAAAGATACACACACATACAATGTTAACCAGTACCTTTATCCAATAACAGTTTGATTCTTGAAACACACAGATAAATAGGCTAGCTATCTGCACTTATGTCCATCATGGAGTGTTTAAAAGAAAGATACACACACATACAATGTTAACCAGTACCTTTATCCAATAACAGTTTGGTTCTTCTAACACACAGATAAATAGGCTAGCTATCTGCACTTATGTCCATCATGGATCCAATAACAGTTTGGTTCTTCTAACACAGAGATAAATAGGCTAGCTATCTGCACTTATGTCCAGTTAACCAGTACCTTTCTCCATGGATATTCAGTAGTAGGGGATGGGCCGGGGTAGTGGCCCCTAATGTATCAACTTAGGATTGTTAAAGCTGATGTTTACTCTCTCCATGGATATTCAGTAGTAGGGGATGGGCCGGGTAGTGGCCCCTAATGGATCAACTCCGGATTGTTAAAGCTGATGTTTACTCTCTCCATGGATATTCAGTAGTAGGGGATGGACTGGGGTAGTGGCCCCTAATGGATCAGCTTAGGATTGTTAAAGCTGATGTTTACTCTCTCCATGGATATTCAGTAGTAGGGGATGGGCCGGGGTAGTGGCCCCTAATGGATCAACTCAGGATTGTTAAAGCTACAAAGTGAAACGATGAGTGCCCAATCAAAGAAGAAATATGACAAGTTTGGTGTTATAAGATCAGTTATTACTGGTATACAAATGTCTAACATTTCAACGTGCACTACAGAAATTAAATCTTGTATATCTCGGTGAAATTGTGTGCGAGTTTTATGGCAAGGCCACGTCGGCCTATCTGCTGTGTCCACCGAGGGGAATCGAACCCTGGTGTAATTGTAACCCCGATGATCATCACAAGAGTTCCTTGTCTTCAGACTTCACACAATCAAGCAATTCTCAGATTAACCTCCTGTGTTTAATAGTCTGATAATCTGAACTACAAATACAGAGGCAACATTAACAATAAACACTTAAACAGCATTGATTGTAACAGAATAAGTTCAAATTATATATATATACAGGTGTTGCTACATCTGAAACTAAAGAAGACAATCTTTATCACTTGATCTAATAACATATTAACAGGTCTGGGATGGTCACAGTACGAGTCTTTGTTTTGTTTTCACAAGTGTGAACCATGAAGTTATACAACCCATGAAATAAATAATTTGTTTTTTACATTTTCATACTTTTAGCAGTAGGAGGAGAATAACTTATACATTAATTCAAATGATGAAAAACAGAGAAAATATACAGCAGTGGCTAACAGATAGAAAAAGATGTTTTAACGATGGCTCGTATTCAGCAATGATTTTATAAAACAACTGTGTCTTGAAACCCCTCATATCTTTATCGGGATAGTACTTACTTCACACAAAGAATTGGGAAACTTTATATATGTGTAGATAGTGGTTTGGTCATTTTGTTTCTCTGAAACCATCTATATATATACTCCTAATCAACAACAAAATATTTAAGTAAACTTACAGGAGTTCGTGTATTTCCAGTAACATTTTCTCAAACAACAACAAAAATACATCTTAAAATGTAAGTGTATTTTGAAAGTTCATAGCACATCAGAAGTGTTTTTAAAGACATGTATATAATTTTCGAGCTTCAATAACTTATTCTCTAGTGGATAAATATATTTACACATATTTATTGTAATAAAAAAAAAAAGTCTGTTCAGGTCAAGGTCTCCCAGTTCCCACATGAGGAAGTTTACCTTTAACCTTTCCAAGTAGGATTGGTAGGTCACCACCAGTTCCTATCTTCGTCCACTACCTCAAATAACATCCATGTAAAATATGATTAAGATTTAAAATTAGTGTTTAAAAGAAATACACACATACACACACACATACAATAAAGCTGATGTTTACTCTCCTCTCCTAAACAAGGGCTAGAAATTCACGCAAATATACAGATCCAGGAATTAGGAGAGGTTGGGGGAGGTCCCCATATGGAAACAGTGCCACCATGGCTGCCATCCAGCAAAGGAATTTTTTAATTAAAATGTTACTCGTATATTAATGTCATATTTTAAGTTTACTTACTAATGACATCAAATTTGATTAACAGGAAAAAAGAAATTATTGTAACACGTCAAAATTGTTATCCTTTTATAGCTGATATCTGATGTCTCCATGGATATTCAGTAGTAGGGGATGGGCCGGGGTAGTGGCCCCTAATGGATCAACTCCGGATTGTTCTGAACCTGTGAGAGGGCCTGTCTTCACCTTAAAACTATCCGGGAAACTTTCAAAATATGAGTTTCACAAAAGGGCAGCCATGCCTTGCATACACAAACATCACTAGTCTCAAATATGTTGGAGTAAGGCAGATTACGAATATGGGCATTATAAATTAGGAAGTTCATTACCAAGCGCGTCGCGTAAGGATTTATGTTATGCACCAAAGTTTTCTATTTACGTGTGCTCATTGCCTCACACTTTACTTGTTTCTTTTCTTCCGAGCTTTACTGTGCCTTTTGTCCGTTGTGTTGATTTTGGTACGTTATATTTTCGACACGACGTGTCTATGATCTACTTTCTATCTTATGAGAAAATTAAATGTTCTTGAAATGCATCTAATTACAACATTAAACATGAGTAAAGGAAGATGCAGGGGTGCCGCACCCCCCCCCCAACACTCCATTTGTCAACAAAACGTTTCCGTGATATTCTATCGAGAAAATTTTTTATTCGTCGTTTTGAGGTAATCTCGGGAGAAAAATAATTTTTGGTTGCGACAAGTTTTTTAGCAAACAACCAAAAAAAATCAAGACAAATTGGGCAAGTGTCAGGCAAAATTCCTAATTAGATGAAGATCATGTGACGCATGCGCTCTAGTGTGTTGAAGATTCTGATAGTCTTAGCATTTTATCTTCTTCTACACGTAAGGCCAATTAGAGGACAGGGGGGGAGCATGAAGGCCAGTTGGCCCGGGCCTCAACTTTAGACACTTGTTATTTTTTTGCATTTTTTAAATTTCGCGACTTGTTCTTATGCACAGAAAATGGCTAGAAAAGCATTTATTAAATGTTATAAACATGTTAAATAAAAAATGTTTAATTTATGTTGCACTTTTCTTTTGGGCTAATGATTGTCTTATTTTGTTTTCAAGATCATCATTGTTTTTATTATAGCTAAGGGCCTCAAAAGATAAAAGTGGCCAGGGCCTCTGGCGAAGCGACACCTAGATAGGACTGACCATTTGACTCTTCGTGGTAGTTAAGTAAGGATGAAGAAGAGTTAAGAGAGAAATGATTTTCTATCACCTTATTAGATACCAGTAACGAGTAAATAATTAAATTCATTGATCACGAAAATGCTGCAGGAAGGTCTTATAGAATTGAACAAATTGATTAATATGCGCGTCATGTAAGATTTCGATCTT